CTTCCCAGTTACCCTCCTCCACCGAAACACACACACACTCAGTACACACATCGTGACAAATAGCCCGTGACGTGTCTCTGTGGACTTGGCACGGAAGGGTCCACTCCCACTCCCCAGGGCAGACAGGACAGTGGTGTCCCAGTAGGAGGAGACTCTGAGCGTCTCACCAGGAAACCCCTGTTACATCTGACCTTATCATCGCTGGTTTGGGACCATTGATTTAACCCCTGTTAGCACTGGTACAGCTCACAGTCTGAGTGTACAATTAGTCCAAAAGTAATTGTCAAAAAAAAATCTGTGCTAAAATATTCCCAGGCCTGAAGTAATTTTTAGCAAAGTTTAATGACATGTCAGCTTTAAATGTTTTTTTTTTTAATTTTTCTTGTATATTTCTTATATCATAATCTTCTAAAAACCAAAGAAAAACCCTAAAGCCAGTGACTTCCATCTTTGAGTTTTACGTAAAACAGTTCTTTTTGTTACAGAATCTCAATCATTATTGTCAAAATACAAACAGACCCTCGTACAAAATGATACGATGCTATCGGATTTGCTATAATTTCAATTTAATCATACCATACTGTGTGGTACCTAACGTACCGTACCATATTGCACTGTACCGCACCGTAACACCACACACAGTATCGTACCACATTGTACCCTAACAAAACGTACCGTACCGCTTCGTATCATACGTAACGTAATGTAACGTACCGTAATGAACCATACCACACCGAACCGAACCGTATCATATTATAACATACTGTACCATGTCTTGTAATTTAATATGGTAATCTACAATACGATCAAAGATTGTACATGAATATGAACACAATCTTTGACCTTTGCAGAAACAACAACACAGTTCAATGAATTAAGTTAGAAATACAGACCAGAACTGAAGAAAATTAATGAATTTAATTAATTGTTATATGATTTTTTTTAATCCAGAAAACAATTGTACAAGCCAGTTCTCCAAGCAAGTTAAAAAAGTTCTTCAAGTACCTCGAACAACTAGTTGAACCTAAACATAAATCTCAATTCAAAACACATTGAGTTACACGAGTATTCACTCTTCTCCAAACAGAGACAACATTTCTGTCCGTCCTCCTGGCTCCTCTGACCAACCCTGAATCCTCGTACACACCATCAATCTCCAGTTTGTGTTTGGAGTTCTCACAGCAGGTTTTTATTCTTTGTTTTCACCGTTTCCTCTGCCGTGTCTGACACTTCAGGTCCTGACTGGACTTTTCTCCATCACTAGTGTCGTGGCAGTCGTTCTGGATTATTCCAACAAACGGTATTTGGATCATGAGAATCACTTTGGACTTTCTGATCATTCTGATCAATCATTATTTCATCACCAGGGCCATGAACAGTTCAGACACCTGTGGCCGATAGATATAACTGTAAATTAAAGACAGGAGCAGAAGAACTCACCTCCAAAGATTTTACTCTTTCTTCAAAATCAGACAGTGGAATCAGTGATTTTAGACGTGGGTCAACATAAGGTTCAGTCCAAGTTTCAGGAGATTTTTTCCAGGTTCAGTTCTTATAATTGAATCAACCATTTTTTAAGTGTACGATGTAGAAGACGACTTCTCATTCAATGACAGCTACACGTTTTAAATTATTTTTCTTATAAAACTGGATTGTTATAAAATCTGTCTTATTATTCAGGAATGATCTGCTTTCTAGACCTGGCAATCTGAGCGTAGGTTTTATTTTAAGTTATGATTATGATTGTAGTCCTCACTGGAGTTAGTGTCAGGGTCCAACGTGAAAAAAACACTAAACTAAACTATTACACAATTGCGAAGAATGACTATTTGACAAAAATAAATAAATAAATAAAAAGAGTGGAGAAAAAAAAATGTGATGAAACTTTTAACTCGTTCTCTTTGTTTGTAATTTGACGTTCGCTTTCACTCATTTCTGAGTTGACGCAACTGAATTAAAATCACTGTCTCAAAATAAACCATTTCATTAGCAGAGAGTGCAGATAATAATTAGTTCAGTTGGACTGGTTGGAGCTGGGCCTGGTGTCCAGGAAGTCAGAGCAGTTTGTTTGAGTCGTCTCTCGGTGATAAATGCCCTGTCAGTTGTGCTCAAACCAAATAGTGTTCATATTTTTATAGTCGGGGGGGAAACGGTTGACAGAGATGTGCTTGCAGAGTGGAAAATGTGACAGATGCCTTTGGACAGGAGTCTGACATGTTCAGGGATTGAGTTATTCTACAGAGGTCTTCTGGGTTTTGGAGTGAGCACGAGCGGCCGAGGCAGAGGAATCCATATTAATGCAATAAACCTACACCGTCCTTGTTTGTTCAGATGGTTTTTCTTGTGGTGAAGAGGGAGATCAAATAGGCACATCAATTATAAATTGTCCGTAAATGTTACTGATGTGGGGCTCGCCCTCTGGATCGTAGAATAACTCATCTGTATGGCTCCACTGGGCTTTTGGACAAACATCACTGTGAGCGCGGACAACAAAGACGGACTGCTCCCCGTGCTGCGGCCGTTTCACGGAGCCGACTCTGCCGCTCGTGACGCTTCGCGCCGAACACGTGAACCGTCCAAGACCGATCCTTCTTTTAAAAACCTCCGACAACAGGGAAATGAGAGCGCTTTTGTTTGTGTGTTCTGCAGAGGGAGATGACGAGACCTACAACACTTGGCCTGCAGCTGGATGATGAGTACGGGGTCACGGCCAGAAGGTGGTTATCGGTAATTGTAACTGTTAAATCCATGCAGCAGTGCTTTCCAAATGGGCACATAAATCCAAGTATAAAAACATCAAGTTGTGTTTTATATGTTAAGGGCCACAAGGCTGGAGTCCAACGGTTATCTAACCTCATATAAAACCACTGTTTTTCTTCATTCTGACACATCATATTACACAAATGGAACCAAAGGTGTTTATTACTGTGAGCACTGGAGCTGCAGCCCAGAGGTTTCTCTTCACACGAGGTTTGACTTTGACTTGTTCCCCTAGTGTCGGGTCATTAGAACTTTCTCAGGGACCTCTCCCACTCGTTCAAAAACACTGCACCTGAAAATCCACTGTCCCTGATTCAAATAGTTCTGGAAAGGTCCACAACATGCATGTGGGTCCAGAGTTTACTCCAACGTTAACCAACACTAATCCTAACTAGCCCATACAGTACTAACACTCACCTCATCATAGCCCAAACCCTTATCCTACCCCATAAACCAGGGGTGTCAAACATAAGGCCTGCGGGCCAAAACCGGCTCGCTACGGGGTTCAATACGGTCCACTTGATGAATGTTGAAAGTGAAACAAAAAAACAAAAAAACGCACAAACCCTTCATGTTAGGGACGTTAACCCCTTAAACTGTCACTAACCTAACACTAACCTCAACTCACCCATTCATTACTCCTTTGGGTTGATGTAATGACTCACCCATTGTACCAGGTTTAAGCATTTTTACCACACAGTTATCAAATATGACCCACAGGTGTCAGTAATGCAACCAAAAACAACACCATTTACCAATAAATGCAAAAGACAGAAAATCAGAGTTAGCTCGTTTAACCTGTTTTAAATTTTAAATATCAACTTTACTACCATTGGTGGTGGTGTACGGCTCCGTAGGGTTTTGCAGCCACCCAGACTTCACCAGTGCCGGCCGATGGTGGCTGGCCCTCTGGCAATGACGTGTCAGTCCCGATGGTACATTTGTACAAAATGTAAAGCCACACATACAAAGAGCCTACCAGTGGAGCAGCACTGTTCCAAGATATGACTTCAACTCTCACATCTCACTTTGGCTTTTCACAGGAAAACATCACACACAGAGTGTAAGATGTCCTTTGTTCGTCTGAGCGAGGCAGACAGGGAAAAGTAGAGTCAGCACTGATGGCTCGCACATGTTGCTGAAGAGGCAGCTCAGACGGCTGATGTCAAACAGCGAGGTGGAGCTCCTTCGCCAGAGCAACTGAGGCATAGCCAAGTGTCTGAAAAGCCACAAGTAGTCGATGCAGTAACCAGCGCGCAACTTACATTCGACTTGGACTTTTTTTGGCCACTCATCAAATGATCTACGTACATTTATAACATTAAATAAACTGAATATACCTGACATATTCATTATGTTAGGCTACTTTGCTTAAACGCATACAGCCGTATTGAGCAATATGATTCAGTTCATGTGAGGTCGCTACTTTATTGCTGTAGCGATTGCCATCTAAAAGTAGCATTACATGTGTTTTTGTTTATTAAATTTTATTTACTGTTGATCAACCAGTACTGCCTTTGATCTAGTGCTAGATCGCAATCTACTCATTTGTCAACCCTGGTCTACAGTCGACACAAAGCACTGCCTGAAGTGGCTGCAGAGGAAACGCTGGATTAGTAACACATGTCTCTGCACGGCTTCACAACCAGCCTTTATGCTCTACGCTTTTATGAACAATATGGTCATTTATGTTTTATATTTTTTAGTTTTAATACTTAACTTTTTTTATCATATGAATAGCTGTTGGAAGATATTAATATAATTTTTTTTTTTAAATAATGGGAGAATTAAATATTATTCCACTAGGCGCCTAAAAAAAAAGCCAGAGCTGATGCAACTCTTCATGTGTCTTTCTTCAATTCCTGTGAGTACATCAGCGTTGTGTTCAACTAAACAGGCCCAGTAAACTGAAACAATAAAAACATCATACATATACATAAATATACTGTTTTGTGATATTTTTGTTTAGTGTTGTGCTGTTGGATTTTTCAGATGAAAAAACATCATACATATACATAAATATACAGTTTGTGATATTTTTATAACAACAAAGGTTTGGAAACTCTGTATAAACAGACTCCTTTGATCCCAGCATCGCAATGACAGTTTCATCGTCACAAATTGAACCCTGTGTTTTTTTAAACATTGCTGTTTTTCGCCGTACGACCACACTACACTAAGACCCGCAATATGAGCTAACTGACACCCACAAAACAACACACAGCACAAACACAACACACTTAAGGTAGTCATTTCCATATATTTGAATATATTCATATATTACACATTTGATACAGGCACAACGAGAAATCATTAAGTACAGACAAAAAAGTGGCTGATATTGGTAAAAATTTACAATTTATGAGAATCATTTACAAAATTTTGCACTTAGAATAGAACATATCAAGAAAGAAAAAAATGAAAGTGACGTAAAAATGAGCCTTCAAACGTTGTATAGAGAGTTTCACGGGGACAGCAAGAACCAGCTCGCTAACAATGGCAAGTCCACAGAATCTGTGGGCGTTCCCTAAAAGACGGGAAAAATAAAATCACTCGCTCCGCCCTTAAATCCACAGAACGTCATGGTTTCTCTTCAAACACCTGCTGCTACAATTTAAGAATGCAAAGAAACTCGTTCCTCTTCCAAATATTTGGCTGATTAAAGTTCACAAAAAGAGACGACAGGGTTCTTTGAAGTCATATCAAAGGCCCTTAAAACCAGACACCCAAAGAGTCACGGGACATAACAAACAGGAATAATTTGACAGCACACACCAGAGATAATGAATGGATCAAGTAGTTTTTTCTAGTGAGAACATGAACGAGCTTAAAATCAGCTGTGAGTCCGAGGGGAAGAAAAACAGACACCGAGGAAAAGATGAGGTCGATTAAAATGACGACAAACAAACAAACTTCATGTTCAACAGCCTGTGCAGCAGCAACAGCAGCATCTGCTGGTTAACGAGAAGAATAAAGCACCGAGAGTCAAACGTGGACATGTTCGACTTCCCTAAAGTTGCAGGAGATTGGAATTTATCCCAGCATGCATTGTGTTGATTAGGTTTGCCTTCCGCGTGCTACTGAGCGGTGAGGCCAAAAGACTAAAGGGTGAGTTCAAAAAAAAAAAAAAAATCAAAAGACAGTCGTCTGATAAGAACAAGAAATACTTTCCCTTCAGTATCCAAATGACAGAGTTAAAAATAGATCTATATATTCTGTATATATCCAGTCCAAATGTTGGTGCTTTTCTCAAAAAATGTGCTGCATTTTTATAAAACATGTTCAGAAAAAAAATGCATTCAGGCACATTTCTTGAAAGTTAAAAGTAAAATAAAAAAAAGAAATCCTGATTTTTAGTTTTCTTTTTTTTCTTCATTTTTACATGTCAAGATTTGCGAGACTTTTTTGTTTTTGTGTTTGGTTTAGAAAGAATGAAAGTCTCAAAGAAAAAGCCCCAAAGACGGGGGTTGACTTTACAGGTACGACTTTAAAAACCCACTGATCACTGATTAGGGGCGACTGTTTAAAAAAACTCCGTGCTCTCCAGCTCAGAGAACTGTAGCTTGGATTGGAGTAAAATGCACTGACACACATTAGTTGCCTGCAGAATAAAGAGAAAGAGGAGGAGGAGGAGGAGGAGGAGAAGGAGGAGGAGGAGGCACTGAGGTCAGGATTTTTTTCTTTTTTTTTTTTTTGCATTTGTTTGAAAGCACTTTACTGCTGTTTAGAGATAGAGTTTGTGCCACGAGAGAGTGAGAGAAAGACAGGACTTAATTGCACGTGATCATATATAAAAAAAAAGAGGAATAAACTGGAAATAATCAGGAGGAAAAAGTGACTGGAGAGTTGAATAAAGGCTGATGGCAGTGTTAGTATTTACAGTTCAAAAATGAAAAGACGGAGACGTGTCGTCCACCTCCAGAAAAGGCTCGGTGAGATGGAAAGAAGTCGATACAAGTGGGAAAAGAGCATAAGAAATTACTGTTAGTGCACTTTTTCATTTTTTTTATGATTTCAAATACAATAGAGATTTATATCCAGTCCAGTCATTGGTTCAGACTATACAAAAATGAACCAATGACGGAGCATTATTAGATGCCATATCTACACAGTTCTTGAAAGCTCATCTTCTTCCTTTTTTTTTTTTTTTTTTCCTTTTTTTTTTTTTCCTCATTAGACAGTGTTCAATACTCAGTGCTGTTTTATTGTAGTGAGATTCTTGGCTCCTGAGCAAACGCACAGCTGTGCTCATGAGGATCAAGAGGTTCAGGACGTGTCAGAAAAGCTGCAGAGTTGTGTGTCAAGAGAGGACGTTTGTCCTGATGTGTGTCTAAGGAGCAGAACAACTCAGAAATCTGCCATGTAGCGCCCTGAAAAAATCAATCAGAGGTTAATTTGATTTGGTAACATTTGATGTGTGTGTGGTCCAGTGTGATACACACCTGTGGCAAATCTCTTCTTGCTGAGGGACAGTCTGTACCCGCTGCCCTGGAGCTCCATGTCTACTCCAGACAGCGTGGTGCCTTCGTTCATGAACTGCACGGCCAGAGTGGAGGGGTTCGATGGACCACTGGCCAGTTCAAACTTGGCTCTCAGAGACCCGGCACCTTTTGGGGGTGGGGGGGGGGAGGGGGGGCAAAAATGC